AGGCAGGCAGGCAGGCAGGCAGGCACCCCCACGCGCCACACTGGCCACCCTTGTGCTGTCGCCGCTGCCGTCGCTGCCGCCGCCCCCGCGCCCCGCGCCCGCCTCACCTCCACCCACGGCGACGTGATGCGCCCCTGCTGCTTGGAGAAGTGGGTGACGACCCAGGTGTATCCGCCCGCCGCGCCGCGCCTGCCGCGCCGCAGCCCGTGCACCGCGGGCGGCGCGAACGCCCCCGCCTGCACGCTGCCCGCCATCTTGCAGGCCAGCCAGGCCAGGGAGTCGGAGCTGCACTTCGCCAGCTGCCCCTGCGACACCTGCTCGCCCCAGAAGGGCCCTGCCGCCGCCAGCCGCGTGGCCAGCAGGCCCAGGCACGTGTCGCCCAGGCCGCCCAGGTGGCACGCCTCTGCCAGCTGCACGCTGCCCAGCAGCTCGGGGATGGAGGCGGCGGCGGAGGCGCCTGGGGGCAGCAGGGGCAGCAGGCGGAGGCGCGGGGAGCGTGTGCGGGGGCGTGCGGGTGAGTGTCGGCTGCCTTGGGCACACACACACACACACCACACACGCACACACAACACGCGCGCAGACACGCACGCACACACACACACGTGCGCGTTCTCTCTCTCCCAGGTATGCCTCGATCTTGGCCAGCAGCCCCGCGGCGTCCAGCCGGTGCGCCAGCCCCGCCACCGCCGCCAGCAGCCCCTCCTGGTGCGCGTGCACGGCGCGCAGGCTGGCGGCGGTGGCGTGGTCGGGAGAGTAGGTGAGGCGCAGAAAGGTGGCCACCTGCGCCAGACTGCAGCCGGAGAAGGCGGAGGACAGCTCCACGGGCTCCTGCGCGAGCCAGGGGAGGCGTGGCGGCGGGTGGCGGGCAGCGAGGGGCAGGAGAGGGGCAGGAGAGGGGCGGCCGCCAGCTCCCGGCACCGCGCCAGCCAGCTGGCAGGGCCCGCCCTCCCCTGGGCGGCCCAGGGCGTGGGGCGCGCGGCCGGGGCCTGACCTGGGTGCTGCCGGCGCCGGCGCCGCCCTCCTCGGCCTGCGCCACAAACATCTGGCGCAGCACCGCCGCCCGCGCCGCCAGCAGCTGGTTGTGCAGCGGCAGCCGCATGCCCTCCACCAGGGCAAAGCAGTCGGCCAGCTTCTCGAAGCTGGAGTCGGGCAGGTAGAAGCGCTGGGGGCAGGCGCAATCCAGGGCGTCCAGGTCAACCAGGCAGAGGCCCTCCAGCGGCGGCTGCGGCGCGGCGACGAGCCCGTCGGCGGCGCCGCCGTCGGCGGCCGCCTTGCCCCGCTGCCCTCTGCCGCCGCGGCTTGGCCGTGAGGCCTTCCGATGCATTTGACAGGTCTTTGCAAGAGCCCCTGCCGCGAGCAGCGATAGCCACGCGGTGTGGGGCAGTAGCATGGCTGCTGGGTGAAGCGGAGGCAGTCTACAACAGGAGGAGTGAATTATCAGGTGAGTGCTGCACTGCAAGGGCTGAGAAGAGAAGGAGGAAGACACCACCCTCGTGGGCCTTGCACGCAAGAAACCTTGCGGCTCCGGTTGCTGATGGTGCTCAATCTAATTGGCAGGAAGACGCATCACACACCCGGTTGAACCTGGTTGCGAGTCGCCGCCCTGCGCGCACTCGCCCAGGGCGGTGGCTGGGCGAGCCGTGTGGGCCTGCCCACCTCCTTCCCTTCACACTGCTTCATTGGGATTGCAATCAGCGTGATGATGCATAGCTAACGGGCGCAGCGAGCGAGGGGCGACCAGCCGCAGCACTGGGCCGCCACGCAAGGCAGCACGGCGGGAAGGACCTGGGCTGGTCGCTGCCACACTTCGCTTTGCACTCGCACGGTTACAGCAGGTCGGCGAGAGGCCCCGTGAGGTCATGCAGGGTCAAGGCAGCCGCGTCCAGCAGCAGGCAGCGGTTGGGGGGGAACGGCGCGGCAGGGCCGGCGGCCGAGCCGGGGCCCGAGTCTCGCCGCGTCGGCTGCTGCAGCAGCAGGCCCAGCTGTGCGGGGCACCGCACGCTGCCCACCCTGGTGAGCGACTGCGGCTCCCACAGCTCCACCACCCCTCGCCGCGGAGCATACACCACCAGCAGGTGCCCGCCCCGTGGGAACCGCTGGCCTGCGGCTGCGTCCGGGAACGGCTGGGCCGCCGCCTGCGCCTGCGCCTGCTGCTGGGGCTGGGGCTGGGGTGAGCCGCTCCCTGCAGCGGGTGCCTCTGGCTCGTCTCCAGGCTCCAGCTGCTGCTGGTGATGCTGGTGCTGCTGCTGCTGCTGCACCTCTTGCTGCTCCTCCTCCTGCCGCCGCCGCTCCTCCTGCCTCTGCCGCGGCAGCCGAGGCGGCGAGGCGAGGTCGGCCACGCTGCTGCCCGCCACGCTGCTGCCCAGGCTGGCCAGGCTGGAGCTGGAGCCGCCCAGCGGGGCCAGGCCGTTGCCCACGCTGGCCCCTGCCCCGCCGCCGCCCCTGCTGCCGCTGCCGCACACCAGCCAGGCCACCTGGGCTTCCCGGTAGCCCTGCAGGACAGCCACAAGAGGGAGACAGGCAGAGAAGCAGCTTTTGGTGACAGTAACATGAGATCCGGCAGAATCAACAAACCGATGCAGACTGAAACAAAAACCGCAGCACACGGCGTGTGGGCAGCCCACCTTGAGCATGCGCACCACCAGGGTGGCGGCGGTGTCCACGAGCATCACACGGCCCAGGCTGTCGCAGCATGCCGCCCAGCCGCCGCTGCAGGTGCAGGGGGTGGGGAGTGGGGCAGGGGCTGCACCTCAGCAGGGCTGGCATGCAACGGGGATGCATGGGTGGAGCTGCAGCTGCCTGGGACTGATGGCATGCGGGGGCAGAGCAGCAGGCGGCATGTGCAGCAGCAGGCAGCACCACCACCGCCACCACAATGTGCAGAGCGAGCAGCAGGAAGGAAACCCAGCGGGAGGGAAGGAAACCCAGCGGGAAGGAACGCAGCGGGAGCTCACGTCGGCGACAGCGCCATCTGCGTGATGCACCGCTTCTCATCCCACACCGTCGCCACCAGGCTGGCCGGCTCCCCCGCAACCTTCTCCCGCCTCTGCTGCTGCTGCTGCTGGGCGTCGCCGCCGCCGCCCCTCCCGTCGCCGCAGTCCTCGCCGCCCGCCGCGCTGCCGCCGCGGCTGCCCCGGCGCAGGCCCCCCAGCAGCGACCGCCCCGCGGACGCCGCCGGGCGCGGCACGATGCGGCCCAGCAGGCTGGCCGCCGTGGAGCTGGCCAGGTCAGACACGAGGGACAGCAGGCCGGGCGCCGCACACTCCTCGGCCTCGTATGCGGCCAGCGGCGGCGCGGAGCCCGCGGTGAGGATGTGCAGGCGGCGGTGCTGGTCCTGCCGCCCCTTCATGGCGGCCTGCAGGCTGAGGGGCGGCGGGCCCAGGCACACGGCCTGCGAGCGGGGGCCTGCGGGGGCGACGGGCGGCGGGGTGCGCGGCAGGGACGTCAGGGTGACGTGCGGGGGGAATGGAGACAGGAATGCAGCAGGGCATTTGTCCCAAAGGCGGCAGGGCTGCTGTGCTGCAACGAGCCTTCGTCGGGAACCCAAACCCCTCCCGCTCCCACCGCCCACCTGCGCCCCGTGGCAGCGTGAACTTGGAGAAGCTGAGCTGGTGGGGCGCCGGGCCGCCGCCGCCGCCGCCGCCCCACCAGCCGCCGCCGCCGCCGCGCCCCGTGTGCCAGCGCACCGCCGCCCACACCTCCCAGGCGGGCAGCCGCACCACGGCATCGCCGAAAGCCAGGGTGACGTCCTCGGACAGGTCGGAAGGGTCCGTACCGCAGCCGCCGCACCGTACCGCCGCCGCCACCGCCGCCGAGTGGTGCAGCGCCTGGCGCAGCAGCAGGGCGCCGCTGGCGGCGGAGTGGAGCTGCAGGAAGCCCTCAGAGGTGCCCACCAGGATGCACTCGTCTGCAGAGGGTGGATGGTGGGTGGATGGTGGGGGGGCTTGTGCGTGTGTGTGGTGTGGTGGTGAGAGGGGCGGCGTGGGGCTCGGCAAAGGGGAGGGCGTGAGGTTCAGCTGGGGAGCTGGGAGGACAGGCTGGGGGCCAGGGCAGGGGGCCTTGCCTGCGGCATCGCCCCCACAGCCCTGGCACTGCCGCTGGCAGCACCCGCCCCGCGGGGCCGGCCGCCGCCGCCGCTGCTCGCGCACCCACCTGCCGACTGGGCGCCGGCGGCCAGCCATGCCAGCGCTGTCACCGTCTCAGGCGCATCCACCGCGCTCACAAACTCCACCGCCGCGTTGCCGCCGTTGCTGGCGGCGCTGCCGAGGTTGAACAGGTTGAGTACCACCAGGCGCTGGCCGAGCGCCACCGCCAGGCCATCCCTGCAGGGCCAGGGCGGGGCGGGGCAGGGCAGCAAGCGGGAGTTGCAGGGTGGAGCAGCCGCGACCAAGAGTGGACAGGCGTTCAGAATGAAGTTGCGCTTCATTCCGCTATGCCAGCGCCACACGGCAAGCCTGCTTGCTTGCTCACCCGCTGGGGCTCAAGGCGGCCTGCACCGCGTGCCGCCGCGCCGCCGCCAGGAACGCGCTCTGCACGTCCTCCAGCACCTCCATGGGGCTGGAATCGTGCTGCAGTAGCAGCTTGGGCAGGAAGGCGAGTTCCAGCATGGCGGCAGGCGGCGGCAGGCGGGGTGCCGCCCGCGCGGCAGCCGCCGCTGCCGCTGCTGCCTCGGGGGGTGCGCCTGTGGCGCTGCACGCCGGGCGGAGATGCCCTGGCGGCTGCTGCGATGCGTTTGCTGCTGCCGCTGCTCTGCAGAACCTGCTTGCGATTGAACGAAGATGGGAAGGTGTGCTGGGGGAGGGTCCAGGTGCGCAGCAATGCTGCAACTAAGCGACGGTCATCCGCCGACATGCTAGATAATCCATCTAGGTGTACTCTGAGCCGCAGGCCCGCTCCCTGACGTGGACCCCCATGGCGGCCACAGAAAGGGCTGTAAGGCTGGAATCACCGCAAACACTTCCGTCTCATTCACAAGTTGTGAACAACTCCTGACGCGACCGCTCTTTGACGCCTGGCTTCTGGGGCATCACCTGCGAGCTCCCTCCGCGCTTCTGCGCCGCCGTGGCGGCTCCTGGCATCGCAAGGTCTCCTTGTGCAGCGGCCAGCCATGCAGCAGCAGGCACCCGCCGAGGAGGCACCCCAGCAGGCCGCAGCGCCCGCTGGTGGTGCCCAGCAGGGGCCGGAGGACCCACAAGACCGCGAGGCAGCGGAGGCAGTCAGGTGCGGCCGCAGCAGGCTGGGCAGTGGCGGCGGCGGGGAGGGCCGGAGCGGGGCGCCCGACCTCCGCCTCCCGCTGCTCTTGTTCCGGCTGCCTTGTGCGTCCTTCAGGTGGCCGCTGTCCCGCATGCAGCTCGCCATCAGTGCTGCCTGGGACCCCCCCCGCCTGGGCGCCGCTGGGTGCAGGAACCGCGGCAAGGGGCAGTACGGGTGCTCGCACTACCGCCGCCGCGTGCGCTTCATCACGCCCTGCTGCAACGAGGAGTGGTGGTGCCGCCACTGCCACAACAAGGCCAAAGACACGGATGAGGAGGTGGGGGGGGTGGGGAGGCGCACGGGAGGAAGCGGGTGGGGCCCCGGGCCGGGATGAGGAGCTCGGTGGTCGGCAGGCGCACCTGCCAGCCGCCTGCTGTCCCACCCCGCCTCCCCTCCCCTCGCCTCGCCCCCCGCCCCGCCCGCGCCTGGACGTTTGCAGGACTGGCAGAAGAAGCACGAGCTGGACCGCAAGGCGATCCAGGAGCTGGTGTGCGCGCTGTGCAACACGCGGCAGCAGGTGGCGGCCAACTGCGCCGCCTGCGGCGTCGACTTTGGTGCGCCCCCGCACGCCCCATGGCGCCGCCGCCGCGCCGCTGCCGCGCCGCGCTGCACTCGCTCGCCCCGCCTGCCGCCTGCCTGCCCGCCCGCCTGCCTGCCTGCCCGGCGCGGTGCCAGCCATCCGCCACCCTCCCACACCCGCGCAGGCGCCTACTCCTGCCTCGTCTGCCGCTTCTTCGACGACGAGCTGGGCAAGCAGCCGTACCACTGCGCGCAGTGCGGCATCTGCCGCATCGGAGGGAGAGACAACTACTTCCACTGCGCCACCTGCGGCTCCTGCTACGCCATGCAGCTCAAGGTGGGGGCGATGTATGGAGGTGGGGTGGGGAGCTGGGGGCTGGCTGGCCGGCTGGCTGGCTGGCTGGCTGGCTGGATTGAGCGGCGGGGAGTGCGTGGGGGCGGGCTGGGGGCGGGCGGGCTGGCATGTCTGGGGCGGCGGGGTGTGCATGGTGGGGCCCACGGCGGCGGGGCGAGGTTGCGAGCAAGGCAGGTGGGGCGAGACGGGTGGAGCGTGGCGGGCGTCGACGCGGCGTCCGCACACCACCGCCACCACCGGCGGCACACCTGTAGGGCCCCACCCCTCCCCTGCACTGCCTTGCCGGCACGCCCCACACGCCCCGCCCGCCAGCCGACGCGCGGCCAGCCGCGCGCCACCCCGCCGGCTACCCTCCCGCCCCGCCTCACCCGCCCCGCCCCGCCCGCCGCCGCCGCCACTTGCGCTCCGCAGGGCAACCACCAGTGCGTTGAGCGGGCGATGCACCAGAACTGCCCCATCTGCTTTGAGTTCCTGTTCGAGTCGGTTGATCCCACCACCGTGTTGCGCTGCGGCCACACGATACACACGCAGTGTGTGCGGGTGAGAGGAGCGACGCGCAGGCGGGCAGGCGGCAGGCACGCGGCGGCGGCCGGGACGGGTGGGGCGTGCGGCGGCGGCGGCGACGGCGGCGGCGGCGGCCGGGCATGCCGCCCGGCCCGCTCCCGGCTCTCCTGCCACGGCCTTCAAGCGCAGCCCGGCCCTCATCCCACCACCACAGCCGCGTCGGGCGCACACACCCACGCCGCCACCTCAGCTGCCGCCTCTCCTGCCGCCCGCTTTGCAGGAGCTGGAGGCCAGCCACAACGCGGTGTGCCCCTCCTGCCCCATCTGCAAGAAGAGCCTGGGGGACTACGGGGCACACTGGCGAGACATAGACGCCCGCATCGCGCTGCTGCCCGTACCGCCAGAGTACCGTGGCTGGAGGGCAGACATACTGTGCAACGACTGCTCGTGAGCGGCGGCCACCTGCACGGCGCGGGCCTGGGCTGGGGCTGGGGGCGGCTGCCGGCGGGCGTGCGGGCTGGGCAGGGCGGCTGGCTGGCTGCGGGGGAGTGCTGGCGGGCCGCACGCTGGTGCCAGGTGCAAGCGCCCACAGGGGCCCCACAAGGGGCCCAGGGGCATGCCCCCTCTGCCTCCCCTTGGCTCCCGCACCCAGCAGCCCCAGCCGCGCCGCGACGCGACGCGACGTGCCGCCTGCGACAGCTCACAGCGCCGCTCCTCTCCCCCCCCCGCTGCGCCCGCCCCCGCAGGCAAAGCAGCAGCGTTTCTTTCCACCTGCTGGGACTCAAGTGCCCCGCCTGCGGCTCCTACAACACACGCCGCATGGGCCTGCACACCATGGACGGGTCGCCGCTGGAGAACGCGGCGCAGCTGGGGCGGCACGACGGCGGCGCACCCGGCGGCGGCGCCGGCGGCGCGGCGGCGGTGGCGGCCGTGCCGGGCGGCGGCGCGCTCGTGCCAGACCTGCTGCAGGCGCTGTTTGGGGCGCCGGCGGGGGATGATGATGAGGAGGATGAGGAGGAGGAAGGGGAGGATGAGGATGAGGATGAGGATGATGAGGAGTGGGAAGAGGCGGTGGGTTTCTGCTGCGCTTGCCTGGGCGTCGTGCAGCCTGCGAGCGCGCCGTTGTTGGCGCACCAGGCGCATGCGTGCAGCTGCTGCCGCACTGGTGCCTGCTCGCTCGGCAGCCGCCTGGGATGGTGCAGCATGCAGCATGCAGGCGCCGACCGACCCTCCCCTGCCTTGCCTCAAATGCTTGCGCAGGACGAATGGGTGACGGATGATGGAGAGGAGGAGGAGGAGGAGGAGGAGGAGGAGGAGGCGGAGGAGCAGGCAGCAGGTGCAGCAGCGGCGGCGGCGTCAGACGCAGCGGCGGCAGCTGCAGCGGCGGCGGGCGGCGACGAGGCGCAGCAAGGGGCGGCCGCTGCGGCGGGCCCAGCTGCCGCAGACCGGTAGGCGGGGCGGGTCCCGTTTCCAGCCAGCGCCCGTACACGCCCCAGAGCCTTTGTGCCGGGCCCTCCTTGTAGCTTTCACGGCTGCAGGGCCACCTCAACCCCCAACTGTACACAAGTCCTCTGCTGCTGCTGGCACTTCCCCCGCTCCTGCGTGCCCCTGCTCCCGTCGCCCCTCCCCGCCTGTGCTCTGTTTCTTTCCTCTGCGCTGCCTGTCCTGCTCGTCACGTTGTGAGTTCAGTGCTCGGTGAAAAGGTCCAGCAGGGGAGCAGTCAGGTCAGGTGCACGAGGAAGGCGGAGCGGAAGGCAGAAAGCAAGCAGGGCAAAGGGGAAGCAGGGGGGGAGGGACAGCAGCAACAAGAACAAGTGACCACCGGAGAGGCCGACGGCGCGGGGCGCTCAGTATCTCCGCTTGGGCGGCAGCGCCTGCGCCACCCCCCGCGCCTGGAAAGGCACGGGGGCCGCGCCGCCGCCATACACCGCCGCGGCCGCCTGGTCTGGCGGCGTGGTCGCCGCCTCGAGCGTCTGCAGGCAGCCGGGCGGGGACGGTCGGTGGGGGCGCAGATGGACGCACGCAGCGTGGCATGCTTGCGGCGGCAACAGGCTGCCAGGCTGAGCGCAGGCAGCGGTCCCGTCTCAGCTGCCACAGCAGGCAAGCACGGCTTCCTGCGGTGGGCAGCTGCAACAGCCAGGATGGCGTCAACAGCAAGCCGGCGAGCAGAGCAGGCAGCGCACCCCCGGGGAGGTGATGGAGGAGAGGGAGAAGACTCGGTCCTCCAGCCGGAACTGCCGGTTCTTGTTCTTGGCCTGCGCGCTCTTGGAGGTCAGGAACTCGCCAAAGCCCTGCGCGCAGGCGGCGGGTGGGAGGCGCTGGCTCAAACATGCGCGTTGCGCACGGGGGCACGGCGGCGGCGGCGGGCGGCGGCTCGCCTTGACCACGTTTCCAAAGTTGGTGTAGTCAGCTGTGAAGTAATCAGACTCCAGCTCGTAAATCTGGGGCGGGGGGAGAGGCGCAGCAGGCCGTGAGGGAGGGCGGCGAAGGCCGTTTCCTATTTGCTGTCGCGAGGGTGTCGGGCCGGCGGCGGCGGAGGTCGGGCGTGGCGGGGTGCTGCAGCGGCCCAGCTGCGTGGGCGGCAGCGGCGGCCCAGCCTCCCGCGACCCGCAGCAGCGGCGCCAGATTCACCTGCTTCTCCAGCTTGGCGATGTCCCCCGCGATGACCTCGCGCCGAGCTGCAAACGCCTCCAGCGCAGAGCTCTGCTGCGGGGGCGCCGACATGGCTTGCGTGCTTCGGAAAGACCGGCAGGGCGGGAAACCAGCGCGTTGGGCAGGGCCATTAGAGGCACGTCCCGCCCGCCGCCAGCGGGCGGCACTGCTGGCACAGATGGCTGCTTTGGAGCACACAACCAGGCCCCTATTAGTTCACGCATCATTTTACAGCGTTGCGTATAGATCGACACTGGTCAGACATTGTTGCAACCGCACCGGGAGGGCAGAGGTCTGGGCAAGGGGCGCCATGCGCCAAACGGCGAGGCACGGACAAAACTAGCGGTCGCGTTCGAATTGCCTGGGGGGAATTCATCGTCATTTGCAGTGTACTGTGCTTGATCTGGGTCTGGCTGGCTGTGTGTGTATCGCCTACAAACCTTACTTGGCCTCTATCCGGGCAGGCAGCGCCGCCCGGGCTTTGGGGCGGTCAGCTCTCAGCCACCCCCTCCTCCGCCTCTCCCTCGCGGTGCTCCTTGGTGGAGGCAGCCCGCTCGCCGCTGTCCAGCTCGCTGGGCGCGCCGCGCGGCGAGAAGCCCGTCCAGCCATCCTCCAGAAGCTCAGCCACCCGCTCCGCCTCCACCGCCGCCACCAGCAGGTTGCGGGCCGGGGCGGCGGTGGCGGCGCCGCCGCCGCCGCGCTGGCTGCCGCGGCTGCTGTGCGCGCTCTCGGGGCTGGCCAGCGTGGCCAGCTGCTCCGCGGTCAGCGGCGAGGGGCGGCGCGCGGCGTCGGCGGCGGCGTGGCGCTCCAGGGCGGCAGAGGCGGCGCCCACCACGTCTGCCAGCGCCGCCTGCTGGCGCAGCAGGTCGTCCTGGGCGGCGGAGCGGCGGCGCACCGCGGCGTGGATGTCATCCTGCGGAGAGGGGCAGGCAGGGGGGGGGAGGGGCAGG